TTTAATTAAAAATATTATTTTCTCTACACGCTTCTTAATGTGTTACAACTCCACTAACACACTTCTTAATATTAGATAATTTTACTAATTCACACTTATCTCTCTCTTCTCTATCTCTCTCTGATTATTTTAATTTTAAATTACGTAATTTGAAAAAAGAAAATAAATATAAAATTATTATTTAAAATATAAAATTTACACAATCAACGCTTGATTTTTAGTGTTGTAAAGTATTTTCAAACATTGTTAGTATTTAAAATTATAATTTCCTACTACTTTTTATTTTTTAGACCTGTTATATTCTAAAATTTAAAATCAAGTTTGTTATTTGAATACCCACTATAATTCAGGTATTTATATAATATTTTTTATATCCAATGTAATATATCTTTTACACAGAATTATTTAAATGCCCAATTAATGAAATATTTTTAGTCATATATGGACGTTTAAGGGATGTAACGGAAAACAATAATTTTTAGTATAATGTCTAACGGACATGGGAAAGGAGTTATGGACAAAGCCAATGGGCTGAAATATCTCGAAGGCATGCCACGGTCACATCCACATAAATTGAATCGGAGACGACATGAATTTAATTCGGGCGGTGAAGGGCAAGTTGGACTTTGATTTGATCGTGTCTTCTCCTCTTTTAGCTGCGAAAACTGATAAAATTCATCAGTAAGTGGTCGGGCATTCATAAATAAGACAATACGAGTGGGGCAATTTTTGATAGAGACTCGCTCAAAGGCCATTTATTATTTTTATTATAAAGTTATAATTCAAAAAAAAGAAGTTACAATTGGTTAAAACATCATAGACTTCTCCTGAACAATTGTAACTTTTTTCTTATGATTTGTAATTTGACCTTTAAGAATTATAACTTTGTTATCAATCTCAATNGCTTGGAAAACAAAAACCTTTTGCTTTATAGCCATAACTGCTGTAATTTTGCCCAAAGCCGATTTCTTGATATATGGATGTTATTGTTTCCTTCCCCTTCCTTTTTTAGCTGGTTGTGCTTCTGCCTGTTCTTTTCCCGTGACTTCGGATATATCCACTGTAGAAAAAGAGAAAGTAATGGTGCTTTGTTAGAATGAATCAAAGCACATATAGGTACCAAACCTAATCCAACATACACGAAGGATGAATGAAGAGTATCCAGAAAGCTGCTCTACACGTGCAACAATTAGCCACTTCATATGGAAGGTGATGTTTCGGATTCACTTTTGTAACATTCAAGACATTCAATGTAATCAAGTGCATACCAAAGCAGCCCACAAAGAACCCAAATGAGTTTTTCAAACTTTTGCATAGCAGTCATGGTACACTCTTTTCGCTTACTTACAACCAGAATGAATCTTCCCCGATTTTGAAAAATTAATGCAATTCCATCTATTCACTATCATCTTAAGTAATGTCCTTTGCAGAACTTAATGCCTTCCAATAATAGGAATAACAAAAAGATAGGAAGAAGATTCAAGAGAAGACTGATACCATCAGAACCCCGAGGTTTACCCCTAGGGTGATTTTACTATCTTATATGGAGGGATAGTTAATCGAATGAGTGAGATCCACTTTTCTTTTTTGGTGAGTTATCATTAAATGGTTACGTCACATGACAATATTGACATGATCAAGTCGTTATAATGAATATTTTCTCCAATTTGAAAACATTTGTATCAAGGCTTCTACAAGTCTTCTGAGGACCACAAAACCTGTGCCTTTTTCCTAACGTACGACAACAACGTTAAGTTAAAAATCAATGAATCACTGGTGAAATTATGAGAGAAAAGGCAAAGTAGATGTTCTTCCTTGGATATTCTGCCAGATTAAAGGTTTGACTTGTGGCCCATGAAGAGGAATTAGTGGTGCTTATGTTGTTGGTAATGGAGTTGAAGAACCACCCAGTGGAGCCGCCGACTGTGAGGTTCGTGAAACTGATTGCGGGTGGGGTGGTGAGGGGGAGGCGGGGTCTGATATTGACGCCAGGGATTAGGAGCACTGTTATCACTGTTAGATATATGTAGTAGTCAATTTTATTATCGTATTAGATGTTAATACATTAATTTAAAAAAAATTTGGAGACTGGTCCCTCTATATAAACTTGTTTGGACTTAAGTCCGTTAAAAAAATTTATTTGTTATGAAGTCTGTTTTTTGTCAATTTTATCATATTATCCCTTCTTTTTAGAAGTGAAATAAAACTAAAAATTAAAAATTTATAAATCTTAGGAGTTTGACTAACATTAAAATTTTTTCTCTCATATTTATCTATATTTATATATAGGTTAAGAATTTAACTAGCATTAAAAAAATTTTTCTTTCTTATTTATTTATTTATATATATATATATATAGTAACATTAAAAATAAAAATTAGTAAAATTCAAATACAAAAAAAAATTATTATTTGGACACAAAAAATAATACATTTAGACACAAAAAAATAGCAACATTTAAACATAAAAAAAATTGAAACATTCAATATTAATTTTTTTAAAAAATAATAACAGTAACATGTTTAACAAAAATATTAACAAGTTCAACAAAAAAAAATAACATACTTAACAAAAACTGTAACATACTTAACAATAATTATTTTGTCTTAAATTCAAATGCAAAAAATAATATCATTCAAATAAAAAAAATAGTAATATTCAAAAAAAAAAGTAATATTGAATATTTATATTTAAAAAAATAATAGTAGTAATATGGTCAACAAAAATAGTAACATGTTCAAAAATAAAAATATATGAACAGTAACATACTCAACAAAAACAGTAACATGAAGAGTAATATAATAAAAAAAATAGTAACATAAATTTGAATTTTACTATTCAAATTNTTTTATGTTTAAATGTTACTATTTTTTTGTGTCTAAATGTATTATTTTTTGTGTCCAAATTATAATTTTTTTTTGTATTTAAATGTTATTATTTTGTATTTTTAATGTTACTATATATATATATATATATATATATATATATATATAAGAGGAAAAATTTTAATGTTAGTCAAACTTTTAACCGATATATGGATACAGATAAATATGAGAGAGGAAATATTAACTTTTTTTCAAGGAAGGGTATTTTTGAAATAAAAAAAAATTAAATTTAAGTCATTACATATAATTTTAAATATGAACTTAGCCCCTTATAAATTTTATTGCAGGACATATCTCAAACACAAGCACATCTAAGGAACTCACTTTCAATTTTCACTCAATTTTTAAACTTCATCAGTCCCATATTAGATGTTGTCTATATAATCTAACCAACCCAAAGAGATGCCTAATGGGCCAATAGACAAAGCTTTAAATATTCGTATTTTTCTCTCTACTAATTTAAAGAATAGTACTTCATTACCCAATACGATTTTAACCTTTATATTTATTAAAATTTGGCCCCAACTACAATTTAGAACCACTTATTATTGTTTGAATTGGGATGTTATAGTAGCGGTGATGGTAACAAGAATGGTCAAACTTTGATCGGATAAGCCTTCGGAGGCACGGCTTTACTTAGTGTAAGCCCAAACTTGTCACTCATGTCCACTTCTTTCGGTATCATCCCATCTTCAACCTTCCAATCAAAGCAGTGAAGCAGAGAGGCTAAGATAAGGTGAACCATCCGATGAGCAAGTGGCAGTCCTGGACAAATCCTTCTTCCTGCTCCAAAGGGAATCAGCTCAAAGTCTTGGCCTCTGAAGTCAATTTCACTCTCCAAGAACCTCTCAGGCACAAATGAATCCGGGTTTGACCAAATGCTTGAATCTCTGCCGATTGCCCATAAATTTATCAGTATCTGTGCATTCTTTGGCACTATGTATCCGTTGATTTTTGTGTCAGATTCAGCTTTGTGAGGAACTAGAAATGGGGCTGGTGGGTGCAATCGAAAGGTTTCTTTTACTACTGCTTGCAAGTAAGGCAGCCTTGCGATGTCTGATTCTTGAACAGCTCCTCCTTCCTTGCCAATGACTTGCTCCAGCTCTGTTCGAGCTCTTGCCATTATGGTGGGGTTCTGCAGTAACTCTGCCATTGCCCATTCCACCGTGGTTGTAGTTGTATCAGTCCCTGCCACAAATAAGTCCTGAAAAAGAATAGCTAATGTGAGATTAGGAGCTCATGAACTTATTGGGAAAAGGGTACAGGTCAAAATTAGTAATTAATGGTGGTGTCTAAAAACTTGGGATCCGCCATAAAAAATTACAATTGATCTCTTGGATCAATCCACCTCATTGATTCGTAGTTCGTCCTGTTTTGAGTCAAGACGTAACTTGATAAGGACCTAACTTTTTGCAGGATATCGAAAAGTCCCTTAGTAAAATCCATCTTGCAAAAGCTAGACAGAGATCACTGGGGAACAAAAACTAAGCTTAATGCGCCAGAAATTACACCTTAAAATACTTCTAACAATTTGGTCTATGAAGTCCGTGTCTGAGGGATTAAGAAATTTATTGCAAAAAGGCATCCTTCCATTTAGCTACTTTGACATACACTAGTTCAAATACCGTAGAAGAGAATTGCAAAAAATAAAAAAAATAAAAGGGAAATTAAAATCTTACTTGTATGTTGTTCTCTATGATACGGACTTGTTCTGGNACGTAGAAAAGAATTGCAAAAAATAAAAAAAAATAAAGGGAAATTAAAATCTTACTTGTATGTTGTTCTCTATGATACGGACTTGTTCTGGAGGTGTTTGTGATTGAAGGTTATGCATTAGTATGTATATACATTACTTAAATTAGAGTAATGATCCTTAAAATTCTAAGGTTACTCAATTTTGATATGAACAACACAGGTACAAGTCACAGAAACAAACTCTATACTCGGGGGTTTGGATATAATGGTATACATTTGACTGTTACTAAATTTTATAATGACGAGAGCTCCGTACACTATACTACCTATTTTGTTCTTCACAAAAAGATTGTTGTATAGGGGTTATGAAGAGGATTTGTCTCAAAGCATACCATGAATATTGAACCTAACGAATCAAAATTAGATTTGAAAAATGGTACTGACCACAAACATATGTTTCATGTCTTTGTAGCTCAACTCAGAATCATTCTTTTGGCTTAGATCCAGGAGGGTTTCCAGCAGATCATTGCTTCTTGAAGACGAGGAAGATCTTGATTCTATCCGTCGATTGATGATACCATCAAATATCACTGACAATTTTTCAAAATAAATTTGTCCCTGTTTCAGTATGCCCTGTGGATCAATCAGTCTAAGTACTGGGAAGTAGTCTGCAAGGTTAGGCTTCCCAACATATTCCATCAAACCCCATACAATGTCCTTGGGTACTTGAGAACCATTGGAATCGTGCAGGTGAGCCAAATCTATCGAGAAAATGGTGTTTGATATCAAATTAAGGGTGGTTGTGAAGGCAACTCGACCAATATCCACGGCTTGGCTTCTGATGCAACATTCATGGATATAATCAAGCAGTTCCTGTACCTTTTCACGGCGAAGGACTTGACTGGCATTGAGTCGTTGCGATGAAAACAAGTGCTCTTTGCATATTTTGCGAAGGTTCCGCCATTGTTTTTCTGCCGGTAACCACGCCATGGAGACCGTGTTGTGGTCAAGTGCCGTGATAGCATGTGGAACTGGTCGGCCAGAGAAGACCTGATCATGTTTTTGCAACACTTCTTTGGCTATTTTGGGTGATGATACGACCATGGTGGTTATGGTCCCCAGCTGAAGAGACATCAATGGACCATAAGTTTTGGAGAGGGTGGCTAGTGAGAGGTGGGGTTTGTGGCCGAGTTGGAAGATGTTGCCGATGATCGGAAAAGGGTAGGGGCCAGGAGGACCGGGCTGCCGCCGGTATGAACTGTGTTTGAGGACATGCATGCATGCCAACACAAAGGTTAGTGCAAGCAAAGATGCTATGAAATCCATTAAAAGGTTCTATTTTTCTGTTTCTCCTTTCTTTCAGCTTTTATGGGAGCTGTGGGACCAGACCAATTACTACAAGGCTTTCTGGGCAGCCACTCTTTTTTTGAGTGGCTGTCGAGATGCCGCCGCGCGCTCTCTCTCTCTCTCCATTTGTCATGTCCAAAAGTATAATAAAATATAAAAAAAACAGCGTTCAAAAAATTGATTTTATTATATTAAATTTTTTAAAAATATATTAACTATAAATTAATTAAATATTAAATAATTGAATATATGACAAAAATGAGTTGTGTGATATTTTTATGGAAAAAATATATAAATGATTAAATATGTGCTAGAAATGAGTGATGTGATTTGACATTTGAGTCTGACAAAAGAATGATAAATGAGGTAAGTGATTAGTGATAATTTTAAGGGAGAAAATATGACTGGGATAAAATTCAAATATACTCGTGTTTTATTATACATATATATATATATATATATATATGTGAGAGAATTACACTTAAACCATCTGAAATTTGTCACTTAATCACTCAGAACCCCTGACATTTAAATTATTCCATACAAATTCTCTAAAATTTATACGCACGTAGCACTTAGACTTTTACTATAAATATATTCGTTAATAAATTATAATCAAACCCCCTGAAGTTTGTAAACATATATTCTTTAGACCCTTTAAGTTTAAAATGTTATAGTTAGACCAAAAATATTTCAATTAAAGATAAAATATCAAATATTTTAAATTTTATAATTAAAATTCATATTCTATTTATCTTTTAATGAAATAAAATCAAAAATAAAAATTTAATTTTTTCGTAAAAAATTGTAATTAGTATACAATTATATTGTCTATTGAAATTTAATTTGGTCGTTTAAACGACCAAATTAAAATACCAAACTACCCTAATTAAAGCTAAAAGATACTGTGTCTATTACAGTTTGACCTCTTATTTAATTTTTTTAGTTTGATTCTAATAGATAGTATAATTATATACTAATTATGATTTTTTTTAAAAAAAAAAATTAATTACACTTTTTTTAAGACAAATTAAATTTTTAATTTCAATTTTTTTTCAATAAATGATACAATAGGATAGGAATTTTAGTTGTAATATTTAAAATATTTGATTCTATCTCTGATTAGAGTATTTTTTGTCTAAATATAATATTTTAAATTTAAGGGGTTTAAGTATTATATATCTACAAACTTCAAGGGAGTCTAATTATAATTTATTAATGAATATATTTACAGCAAAGGTCTAAGTGTTACACGCGTACAAACTTTAGGAGGTCTATATGTAATATTTTAAATGACAGGGAGTTTAAGTAATTAAGTGACAAATTTTAAAAAATCCGAATATAATTCTCCCTATATATATTGTTTCATCTCTTGATCNATGACAAATTTTAAAAAATCTGAATATAATTCTCCCTATATATATTGTTTCATCTCTTGATCTCTCTTACCGTTGTTAATTTAGGTGTACTAGAAAAATATCATTAATTATATTGACAACGAGATTATTATATAATATTTTTAAAATATAAAAACTAGTAAAAACGTTATAAATGTGTTAAATAGAATTGTTATTAATCAATGTTTAAAATTTTATATTTGTTGCTAGTTTAGTCTTTTTATGGCACTAGGACGCACGTGAAAAAAATTTAGTTCTTTAATTTGTTATTAAATTTATTTGAAATATAAAGTTGATGAGTAATAACATTGAATTATTTTTTATAAAGGTAAGTCAATAATTAAAATACCAAGAAAAAAGATATTTAATCTTTTAACCTCAAAATTTGATAAATTTCAGCCAGTAAATGATAAAAAATATTCAAAAACATGGTACATAATACATAGACTTCTATTCATATATATAGTACATAGTTTTTCCTACTTATTAAACTTCTATATATATATATATATATATATATATATAAAGGAATTCAAAATATTTTAGAAATCTAATTAGTAGAAAAGACAAAAAAATATATGTATATGTATCACCTAAAAATTACCAATATATAGTATTAGTAGAGTTTGTATTACTGAATGGAAAATAAAGAATGTGTTGTCATAGGGATAAGGTTTATCTATCAAGTCATAGAGATATAGTTATCTAGCTAATATTTTGTTAAAGTTTATCTACCAAATCATAGAGATAAGATTTATCTAGCTAATATTTTGGAAGTCAGGTTTGAATGAAAGACAGAAAAATATGTGGGTATAATTGATTTTATAGTAATAATTAAGGGTGAAATAGAAAATTAAAAAATTTCCACGCATGCTAAGTAGTATAGATTATTATTTAAATTTGTCCCTAATAAATTTATGACTCCACCTCTCTGACTGTAGATACTTTTGTCAGCATTTGTATGGGTGCCCATTTCTATTATTTGATCTCAATTGGGAGCTCAATCTTTAACATCAATATCTGAATATCATGATAATTTTTTATATTCAGATTATGAGAGATATTNACTAATATTTTGGAAGTCAGGTTTGTATGAAAGACAGGAAAATATGTGAGTATAATTGATTTTATAGTAATAATTAAGGGTGAAATAGAAAATTAAAAAATTTACACACATGCTAAGTAGTATAGATTATTATTTAAATTTGTCCCTAATAAATTTATGACTCCACCTCTCTGACTGTAGATACTTTTGTCAGCATTTGTATGGGTGCCCATTTCTATTATTTGATCTCAATTGGGAGCTCAATCTTTAACATCAATATCTGAATATCATGATAATTTTTTATATTCAGATTATGAGAGATATTTTTTTTATGAATTTTTTAATTTTAGCATAGATAATTTATTTATGATTGAATTGAAAAAAAAAATTAATCAAAATACGCATAAGTTAACTCCCAACCATTAAAACAAGAAAACAAAAAACATTTAACATCTTTTTGATAGTAAGGGGGATGTGGGGGGTCCACAACCACTGGCATTTGACAATAAAACAATAGGGTGCCCTGTCCAAATTGGAAAGCTTTGTGAAAGGAGGGGAGACATGGACAAAGCAAAGATGAGCTGAAATTCATATAGGCATGGATCACATTTGGGTTAATTTTGTTTGATTGAAATTTGAATTTGGTTTGATAACTATGTTTCACATATTCAATAGATATTATTTTTGGAGTTTATATCTTAAATTTGATTTGATTTTATGTGCCTACATCCAAATTGGTTGCAGAATTATGATCCTCAAACACAAGGATTAAAACGAGTTCGAAAAGCTCAAGCAGGCAAGGGTACTCTGGAGCTGAAAAAAAAATTGTCATAAGTGATTATTAAGTATATTAATAATCCTGAAATAAAGTATTATGTGCATAATCCGCTGACCACTTATTGTATATGGTCAATGAATCTGATAAGTACAAGTCAAGCATGAGACGATTGTGGCACCCTTTTTGGCCAAAANTGTATATGGTCAATGAATTAGATAAGTACAAGTCAAGCATGAGACGATTGTGGCACCCTTTTTGGCCAAAAGAAGCTTATTAAATTTTTAATTGTCATGATTTAGTTATTATTAAATTAATAAATTTTATTTTAGTAAGTTCCTTTGTCTATTTCAGATGTCAAAATAAATTATTTTTTGCTTGTGAGAATGATGTGTTGTAGTTAAGCACAAATAAGGATTGGATATAATGTCTCACCAACCTAATAATTGCTCATTCTCATGTCTAAAACCGTAATTTTATTTGATAGGAGTAGAGTTTTATATACTAGAAATTGTGATTCTTAGGTGGTTGAAATTATATATCTTTATTTTTCTGCGAATAACAGTACACACAAAAGAGTTCAATTGACACATATAGAGCGTTCAAGGGCTCAATTGACACTAAAAATTTTTTCACAAGTTTAATTGATACAACAATCATAATTCAAAGGTCATATGTATAAGATTTATCTAGCTAATATTTTGGAAGTCAGGTTTGTATGAAAGACAGGAAAATATGTGGGTATAATTGATTTTATAGTAATAATTAAGGGTGAAATAGAAAATTAAAAAATTTCCACGCATGCTAAGTAGTATAGATTATTATTTAAATTTGTCCCTAATAAATTTATGACTCCACCTCTCTGACTGTAGATACTTTTGTCAGCATTTGTATGGGTGCCCATTTCTATTATTTGATCTCAATTGGGAGCTCAATCTTTAACATCAATATCTGAATATCATGATAATTTTTTATATTCAGATTATGAGAGATATTTTTTTTATGAATTTTTTAATTTTAGCATAGATAATTTATTTATGATTGAATTGAAAAAAAAAATTAATCAAAATACGCATAAGTTAACTCCCAACCATTAAAACAAAAAACTTTTAACATCTTTTTGATAGTAAGGGGGATGTGGGGGGTCCACAACCACTGGCATTTGGCAATAAAACAATAGGGTGCCCTGTCCAAATTGGAAAGCTTTGTGAAAGGAGGGGAGACATGGACAAAGCAAAGATGAGCTGAAATTCATATAGGCATGGATCACATTTGGGTTAATTTTGATTGATTGAAATTTGAATTTGGTTTTATAACTATGTTTCACATATTCAATGGATATTATTTTTGGAGTTTATATCTTAAATTTGATTTGATTTTATGTGCCTACATCCAAATTGATTGCAGAATTATGATCCTCAAACACAAGGATTAAAACGAGTTCGAAAAGCTCAAGCAGGCAAGGGTACTCTGGAGCTGAAAAAAAAATTGTCATAAGTGATTATTAAGTATATTAATAATCCTGAAATAAAGTATTATGTGCATAATCCGCTGACCACTTATTGTATATGGTCAATGAATTAGATAAGTACAAGTCAAGCATGAGACGATTGTGGCACCTTTTTTGGCCAAAAGAAGCTTATTAAATTTTTAATTGTCATGATTTAGTTATTATTAAATTAATAAATTTTATTTTAGTAAGTTCCTTTGTCTATTTCAGATGTCAAAATAAATTATTTTTTGCTTGTGAGAATGATGTGTTGTAGTTAAGCACAAATAAGGATTGGATATAATGTCTCACCAACCTAATAATTGCTCATTCTCATGTCTAAAACCGTAATTTTATTTGATAGGAGTAGAGTTTTATATACTAGAAATTGTGNTTTTTTTTTGATAGGAGTAGAGTTTTATATAATAGAAATTGTGATTCTTAGGTGGTTGAAATTATATATCTTTATTTTTCTGCGAATAACAGTACACACAAAAGAGTTCAATTGACACATATAGAGCGTTCAAGGGCTCAATTGACACTAAAAATTTTTTCACAAGTTTAATTGATACAACAATCATAATTCAAAGGTCATATGTATAAGATTTATCTAGCTAATATTTTGGAAGTCAGGTTTGTATGAAAGACAGGAAAATATGTGGGTATAATTGATTTTATAGTAATAATTAAGGGTGAAATAGAAAATTAAAAAATTTCCNTTTTTTTTTAATCAGAAACATAATAGATTCATTAATCTAGGAAAAACTTGATTACAATCAGACGCAAAAAAAGTCTTAAACTCTAACGGGGGAGAGCTGGTCTAAGTCACAGCAAGAGAAGTGGATAGTACAGCAACGGCCACCCAATGAAGTGCCCTATTTGATTACTTCTTAAAACGTTACTCATTTGCACCAAACTATAGAGGTTGTGAGTATAGTATGAAATGTTAGGGAGGTAAAGAACAAATCACGCAGACTACTAATGAAAAAAATAATTATCCCAACCCAAATAATTATCACTCAAGAGGATCAAATTGAGATCAATTTCTTCTAAATTTTTTTTCCAAATCGATCCCAATTTTTTTATTTTTGATATTTTAACTGTTTCGCTCACGTACTGAATTAATATTAGACCTTATACAAAACCACCTTTCCACATAAAAGATAAATTTATGAGCGGCGACTCTAAGAGCCTGAGCTACCACTAGACTTACATGAACGAATTGTATCATTGATCCCACTAATTAGTAATTTGATCTCAATTGACCTGGGATAATACTTTATGGACCTAATTATTTGTATAATTTATCACAAACAGTATATTGATGGTAAATTTCAATTAATACTGAATTGTTGTATAGTAATAAATTAGGCCCAGATAATATTATGGATTGACCCGAACCCAAATTCAAATTGGGTGGTATGTTCCAAATGCTACCGATCGCCTCACATCTTCATTGAGAGCACGGGGTTAGGGTTTAGGAAATTTACTGTGTGTGTGTGTGTGAGAGAGAGAGAGATGGTAGGAAAAGGACAGAGGAGAAGAGAGAAGAACTACAGAGCAGCACATGGAGCGAACAGTCGTCTGCCACCTCCACCTGATCGCTCCTCCCTCGACGCTGTCCCCTCCAAGCTTCGCCAAATCATGGCTTTCACAGGTCCTCTCTGTCTCTCTCTCTGTGTATATATCTGTGTGGGGCGAATATTTCATATGGATTTCTGGATTTTGGCAGAATTTGTATGTGATTATATATTTAGTTGATGATTTCATACTTTACTGTCACTGTTTCTAATTTGTATCCACACTTCAATTTGTATGACAAAATGGGCCGGTTTTGCACACTAAACAATGGGATTTATAATCAATTCTGTTGAGATTCTTTCTCTGAATTTTGCTGTTTGACTGAGTGTTTCTTATATCTTTAGGATCTTCAAAGGGATCAGTGGATGTTAAAAGGAATAAAAGAGGTGATGGTGGTGTCAATGGTAATGGTGACAAGGTAAGGGCTACTTCATCTTGATGCAATTTAGCTTCGAACAATGGGGCAGGGCCTTTAGATTGAGTATTTTCTTTCCTCTCTTTGTAAATTTCTTAGTAGAACTGTAACTTATGTCCTCAAGGTTATCTTTTTACTATTTGATACTGAGTGCCATGCCTATGTATGATTTAATTACAGAAACTTCGATCAGAGGATGAATATGTCTCGAAAAGCAATGGGATCAAAAGGGAAGTCACTGGTGGAAATTTGATGCCACAACACATGGATCATGGTGATAAAATTGTGGGAAATAATATGCTTGAAAAGAAAAAGAAAAAGAGAAAAAGGAAGCAAGCTGAAGACCTTCGGTTTGAAACGGTGGAGGGATTCCGTGGTTCAAAAAGAAGGGAGCATAAGAAACAGTGAGCCTTTCTATACATTTGTAAAATGAACATTTTGTTAAAAAAATTTTGTCATCATCTTTTTAGAAGAGTTTTTCTGTTCTTATCAAAAAGAAGATGCTAGAAAAGGATGGAAAAAGTGTCTTAAGATGAAGATGTTTACGGAAACGTTATTTAAATTGAACTTATCTAATTAATGTCATAGTCAATACATGTTTTGTTGTTCATACTTAAAAGTGATAGTCATTGCGAGATCCTTTCTCAACATTATGAAGGTTTCTTTAAGAAACTTCATTGAATTGGAACCATGTTCTTATGAATGTCAACATCAGAATTTGATAATTTGGTGAAACTTAGGATGAGCATGTTAAGGAAAAGTGAAAAATTAGATTGCGGGTTTCCCTAGGGATAAAATAGATGTTGTCCAGGGGCGCTACACCATTTTAGAACATTGGCCATGCCACCTCCAGAATGGTTCTAAGGAAAATCCTGTACTTTTAGAGTATAGAACTGCAGCCTTGCTAGAATCTATTAACATTCGAGTTTGATATAGCAAACATTGTTGTCCTTATTCGCTTTTCCCCAAATCTTGCTGCTGGACTTTTGGTTTAAGTAGTGCTTCTGTCCAAATGCCACTGCTGCTGTTGGTTGGGAAATAGGATCAAAGAACATTTATATGTTAGTAATAACAATCTCGTCTAGTGTTCACTATGTTCAATATGATCTTCTCTATCTAGTTTGGGAACTATGAAGCAAACTTTGAGGATAGTTAAACTAATCATTTCCATGGGTTGAATTCGGGGCCTACAAGAACTATGAAGTAAACCTCTATCTAGTTGGCAAACTTTGAGGACAGTTAAACTAATCATTTCCATGGTTTGAATTCGGTGCCTACAATATTATGCGAGGTAAACTCCTTGCTATCCACAAAGACAACAGAAATATACTTGGACAGTTTCGGGTTACAGTGATAATATTTTTCTGTTTGAAAATTTGCTTTTTCATGGACAGGGAGTCAACTAGGAAAAATTTACCAACTAGAAAAGGAAATGGATAATAATCCTGTAACATAATGGAAAGTTAGAGCAAGTCAGAATCAATTTTCATTTTTGTAAGCAATAGAATCGTAAATTGGGTTTGATTTTCTCTTTTCTATGATGAAGTTTTCATTCTTCAATACTTTTCTGTTGACCTCGTTATCTAGATGCAAATGTTTTGTTTTGTGGGGTGGGGGTGAGAGAGCATTATGTATCTTCTCAGCTTAACCTCATCAGTTGAGCTCGAGCTCTAAATGTTGGCATTGCCTGATAAAATGAAAGACTNTCTATGATGAAGTTTTCATTCTTCAATACTTTTCTGTTGACCTCGTTATCTAGATGCAAATGTTTTGTTTTGAATTTTGTCCTCCCTTTTTTTGGGTTTGCGTGGCCTGGGTTTTGTGGGGTGGGGGTGAGAGAGCATTATGTATCTTCTCAGCTTAACCTCATCAGTTGAGCTCGAGCTCTAAATGTTGGCATTGCCTGATAAAATGAAAGACTTTAAAAAAAAAAAAAAAAACTAAGTGCACTAGTTTTTGGAGATTTAAATGAACTAGTTTGGAATTTGTGCAGGCGTTTGGAAGCAATGAAAAAGAAACACAAAAAGGTCAAGGCAGGAGAGGATTNAAAAAAAAAAAAATAAACTAAGTGCACCAGTTTTTGGAGATTTAAATGAACTAGTTTGGAATTTGTGCAGGCGTTTGGAAGCAATGAAAAAGAAACACAAAAAGGTCAAGGCAGGAGAGGATTTGGACTTTCCTGGACGTGATCTGATCAAATTTGGAGAGGTAGTTGAAGCTCCACCCAAGTTGCTCTCATTTCCAAAGGTAGTGTCTCACCTGTTTATGGTTACTTTGATTAGATTACGCACAAATACACATTCCTAGCCAGGATTTGAAACTCTACTACTACTCACTTTACGGGTGGTGAGGGTGGCAAGGGCATGCCCAAGCTCACTGCTAACTGGTCTTAAATTTTAGTGTTAGCTAACAGAGTANTAGGATTTGAAACTCTACTACTACTCACTTTACGGGTGGTGAGGGTGGCAAAGGCATGCCCAAGCTCACTGCTAACTGGTCTTAAATTTTAGTGTTAGCTAACAGAGTAACAACAGTCTTCATTTTAGCTTAAAAACTCTCTCTCTCATGAAGGCATCCAAAGCTACCCATGATGCGTCACAAGAGAGGCTCCGCTTACAGGCAGTCGAGAACTACAGGAAGCGGAAAGGATGGACATCAAGGCCGGGGATCCACCTTCCTCCACCTATGATTACATCACCTTCACTATAGTTCCCGTCATTGTAATAATGCAAGGATGTTAGACAGACAGGGAATAGTGTACCACATGAATTTGCGCAAAATGCTAAATTTGTTGATCATCTAGATGTTTGGCTATGGGATGCACCAGACTTTATGGTGCCTTACCTCTTATACCATTTCAAATTAATACAACTGCTTACGATTTTTGATTAAAAAAAAAGGAGAGATCACTTTATAAAGAGTTATATTATTGTTGTAGTCAAGGCTATATCTCATCTCTGCGTCTGTAACCTGACGTACGTATGCAAACAGTATACCTTCTATATGAATTTATTTTGAATTATTCTTATGACTATGAGCAGCTTGGGTTAATTCGTTATGCAACAGTCTAGGGTGATTGGGGTGGGGCGTTGGGGTGTCTTGTGATCTGATTAAAAGCACTACAAATATTCCCTCCCCCCACCCAACCAACCTTGTCATCCTTGACGAATAATGTTATAAAACCCAAATAAAACTAAAAAATTTGTAATCTAAATGTATATCATTTTTTTGATGAGTAAGTCTCATTAATTTTTTCAGTGGGATTCACTTATTCAACTCTCATTCAATGAATAATATGTATTTAAGTTTTAACTTTTAGATACCATTTAAATTGTGTAGCATGTTCCTTACAAAAAAGGTCCTCCGTTCATGGAGATAGATTTTCCAGTTCTGTAGACTACATTTTCCAGTTCGGATCCTAGTGGAGATAGATTGCTCTGAAGTCGATGATCGTGGTCAACAGAATGACAATTTCAGAGCCTTTTGGGATGACCGGTTGTAACCTTTTTATTCAAAATTATAACTTTATCATACAAAGTAATAATTGACAATATTAATACCAAAAAAAAATTTTGATACCATAAAGTGTCCCATAAAATAAGCACCAAAGTATGATCCTGTTGGTTGGCATGTTTATTTTAAGGAATTAGTTGGGTGGGATTGGAGTATCCGTTCCAACCCATTCCACCCCTTGGGTTTGATATACATTAGTTTATTATCTTTTCTCATCCTACACCATGGATAAGTTTTTCACAATAGACATGGATTCCACAAAATATAATGATTGTATTTAAAATTAACTTGAATACCCTTCACATCTATGACCATGAGGTATTAAAAAAGGCAATATAATAATTTATTTTTCTTGTGTTCCCCACACTAAAAAGAAAAGATGCTATATAATGCCAATTGACTTTATTATCCTTGTCTTGGTGTAGAACATTGACATTTGAAGGGATAATGTTGGAAATTATCCTTGTAATACCATGTGTTTGTTTATTATCTTATTATTATTCCACCCTCTAGGTGGTATTAATTAAACCCTCATACATGGGTATATTTGTACTGTAATACCTGACGGTGTTATTTTTACATTTTTATACCAAGCCAACAAAGACACAACAAACAAGATAATAAATGAGACCCAAGTATTGTTTTACTCTATTCCACCTCGTAATACTCTTCTTATCCTCAAAACAAATACACCTGTTGAGTTCTAGTGGCCGCCTCTGTGGAAGGCACGAACATGGAGTCCGCCATCGATGTGAAGATTGATCATAGTCCTATAATTGACAATTTTCTGATCATCACCCAATTTGAACACAAAGAAATGCAACAAAACTGCTGAGAAGATCTTCATCTGCCTATATGCAAATTCCTTCCCCAGGCAAATTCGTGGGCCTGCCTGTTGTTCAATGTTCATCATCAAAAATTTATAGTTCGTTCAAAACTTTTACTCGAGGTTGAGCTTGAATTGAATGTGAGAAATAGAAAAATGTTGTGTATTGAATTGGTTTTCAGTGATTCATCGATTTGAAAATGGACAAGTGCCAACCGGTTAAACCCAAGTTTTCACAACCCGAGCTGGTGGTATACTACTAAGTCGTACCCGTTTAAAGTCATCATTGACTCTTATAGAGTTATCAAGCAGGGTTTGATTCACGAGATTAATACGGTTTGCTGCTTGATTTTAGTGGGACTGTGGTGACGGACTGCCCTCCCGGGTTAATTGTTATGGCTAAAACTAGACATTTCACAGGAACCTCATGGTCATGTCCAGGGGTTACTATCCACTGGTCGGCCTTCCCCTTTTTTAATCAGCAAAAAAAAATGTAACAGCAATTCTGCTAACCTGGAAGGCTGTAAATTTGAAGGGGCTCTCTTGCTTGAAGCTACCATTCTCATCAAGCCATCTCTCTGGTCTGTAGTTTTCTGCATCATCGCCCCATATGAATCTCATCCTTCCCATTGCATATGGTTGGTATGCCACCATGTCTCCTTTCCTCACGTTAAAACCATCAGGAAGAGTGTCATCCGAAAAGCACATCTTTGCGTCCTGAAACCATGGAAAATTCATATTCATAGATTACTAAAACAATTCAACAATTTGGTAAAAAATATACATGGCTTATGTGACTAAAAGTCGGGTAAATATCAGCAATAATAAACCAGAAGGAAAAAGAAAAATTGTAGTAATTTCAAGTTTCTGGTTTTCATTCGGATTGAGTTCTGGTTTCAAAACTTCTTACAACTGCAGCCCTTAATAAATACTTAGAATTAGGCATTATATGATGGAGATAGAATTTAGGAGTATATGCACATCACAGTGGGAAAAATATCATCTTAAAGACAGCATCCTAGACAGGACTTGCCTAATCTTTAAAATCAACTAAACAAAGGGTTGAACATCAACATGTTATGCAACATTCTGAAGCTTCTTTATTATTGATTCATCCTTAGTACAACTCCATCCGGGGATACAATCAATCCCAGCAGTTCTTAAGTAAGTTGAAGAATGTAACGGATAGAACAATCAATATTCTGTCTTTGCAATATTGGGGAACTATCCCAACATATCAAAGTCAATGCAACAAATTGGGTTAAAATATGGAACTTACTGCATAATACAAGATATTATCAAACCTAAATTTTGTTATCAACCCTGTGAGGTTTTGAAGCTGAATAACACAAAATAAGAACTCAAAGCAAAGACATAAGTATTCAGGTATCGATTGAAAATGGCATACTGTCATATTTCCATTACCACTGGAACTGCAGGATAGAGTCTGAGAGTCTCAGTCAGAGCTGCATGAAGATACTGCATCTTTTCTAGAGCTTCCTCAGTCAGACGGGCAGCAAAATCATCAATGTTCGTAATTTCTTTCGTGTTAGTTGCTTCTTCTATTTCTTGTGCCACCCTTTCTTGTATGGCAGGATGCTTGCAAAGCATGTAGATGAACCATGAAAGAGTCGTAGCTGTGGTGTCTTTGCCAGCAATTATGAAGTTCAATATAATGTCTCGTAAGTACCTTGGATCTACTTCACTCAATTGCAAAAACCTCGACAAAATGTCTTCTTTCTTTAACTGAAATCGAAATAGAGTGATTAAGTTAAATCAGGTGTCTATACCTCGATCAGAAACAAAAGCCTTGAAGTGATTCACTTACAGAAGAATCATCTTGTGACTTATGCATTTGCTCAGTCTTGCTACAGATCAGCTTAAACACAAAATCATCAGCCACTTTGATATTCCTCTTTAACTCAGCTTCCGATCCTATATTGAGAGCTTTCTTAATCTTCCACAGGATATCAACATATCGCCGAAGAGTCACTGCACTTGCATCATCAAAAGCATTGCTAAATATCCTGCCTTCTTCACTTGAACCACACATGCTGTCCAGTTCTACTCCAAATGCAACTTTGAATATAGAATCTAAGGTTGATTTCATAAACAGATCCTTCATTGATAGTCTAGGTTAGTGTTATAAGAAAAATATAATACATGATTGAATTGGGATACTTGAATAGCGAGAACTCACCTGAATATCCATTATTTGGTTGGAAGTGGCAGCTTCGGAAACTATGTTAGCAACTTTCGCTACATTTTTCCTGAACACTATGCTGCTAAAGTCCCTTAATATCCTTGTGGAGAATTCATGGCTTGATACTTTTCTCTGTTCACGCCACTTGTCACCATCCACTGTGAAAATTCCATCGCCTAATAGATCCTTTAAACGGATGTAATTAAGCTCTCCCTGCATAACATTTCAAAATTTTAAAATTGCAAGCATCAAGCTATTGTATTTTTTCCATTACTTCATTGTGTTCAAGCAATAATGAATGAAATGAACATTAGGCTTTATCAGTTCCTACGAAAACAAAATGGAAAAAATAAATGCGTTCATATTTATAATGAGTATAGATATCATTGCAATCCTAAGGTAATGGATCTGATTAGCCTACACCACTTCCCAAACTATAGCTTGCCAAAAATTTTGAAATTTATCTTGCATTAATTTCACGCGAGCATTTATACCGACCATGGTTACCACAATTCACTAAATCTTTAACAACCCACGATTTGGATACATCGATCCCAAACAAGGAGGATTCGCGATTCAGATCACCAAAATGGACGACTCCAAATTATAATACTAACTCTAAATCAATTCGTTTTAGAACATGTAGCACAAATATAAAATATATATTAATTGACTGCATATGTATAGATTTATAATTATATATTGTTTTAAATAATAGAAAATCAAGCACAACTATAAGATAAATGGTAACTAACTTTATGTTTATGAATGTTCTATAATATATAATATTGTATAGTAGTAAAAATGATCTACATAAGAGTTCCAAAATGAATTGCGATCCAAAAAGCTGTACCAGCTAAACGTACTTTCATCGTACTGCATACCTTAAAAAAATGTCATACCATATACCCGTACCCATATCACGTATCAAAGCGACTCACAAACCACTGATAAATTAGAAGTATCATTGTGCTGAGACAACACCACCAAATGGGTACATAGAAATCATTTTCAAAGCCTATCTGTACCTCAAAATAGCCATTATGCCGAAGTTGCTTTGATATCTCAATGCTTAGTAGAGGGATCGAAATGGGTCGAATTTTGAATTGATTACAAGTATGGAATATTATGAGAAATAATATCATATATCTTATGTTCATTTAGAAACTTGCAGGACTAATTAGATATTGAATTCCCTCTAGTATTTTTTTTCAAACTTTTTTGGAGTTGGGGTGGGATGGCGTGGGGGAGGGGGACCTGTAATTGGTGAGAGGAAACCCACGGGCCATTCCCCCACCTCAATCGGGTGAGAGTGACCCTTACCCTTGGGCCACTCCCCCACCTCAAAATTGAAATTCCCTTAGTAACAGAGACTAAGCATGAGGCATCTCTACTGTTTTTCAGCCATATTGTACCAACACAGATTAAGAATTGAANGTTTTAAATAATAGAAAATCAAGCACAACTATAAGATAAATGGTAACTAACTTTATGTTTATGAATGTTCTATAATATATAATATTGTATAGTAGTAAAAATGATCTACATAAGAGTTCCAAAATGAATTGCGATCCAAAAAGCTGTACCAGCTAAACGTACTTTCATCGTACTGCATACCTTAAAAAAATGTCATACCATATACCCGTACCCATATCACGTATCAAAGCGACTCACAAACCACTGATAAATTAGAAGTATCATTGTGCTGAGACAACACCACCAAATGGGTACATAGAAATCATTTTCAAAGCCTATCTGTACCTCAAAATAGCCATTATGCCGAAGTTGCTTTGATATCTCAATGCTTAGTAGAGGGATCGAAATGGGTCGAATTTTGAATTGATTACAAGTATGGAATATTATGAGAAATAATATCATATATCTTATGTTCATTTAGAAACTTGCAGGACTAATTAGATATTGAATTCCCTCTAGTATTTTTTTTCAAACTTTTTTGGAGTTGGGGTGGGATGGCGTGGGGGAGGGGGACCTGTAATTGGTGAGAGGAAACCCACGGGCCATTCCCCCACCTCAATCGGGTGAGAGTGACCCTTACCCTTGGGCCACTCCCCCACCTCAAAATTGAAATTCCCTTAGTAACAGAGACTAAGCATGAGGCATCTCTACTGTTTTTCAGCCATATTGTACCAACACAGATTAAGAATTGAAAGCCAGTATGAACCCATATTGATCCCTAGATATTGTTTTAGGATTGAGCAATAAGACAAATGGAAAACACTTTACTTCTTTTCACTAGGCTTCAATTTATTTGTTATTGCCTAGTAGTGCTTATACTGAGNTATTAATTTATATCCGATTAATCGAATTTGAATCACAATAAAATCCATTGACAAGCCTACTAGCAAATTCAAATTTAACGGATGCATATAATTCACAGATACTGTGCACATTTAAGGTTTGCTTGCAGCCATAATTGAAAGCGTACGTGATTGAACCGATCCTCCATTATAAATTACAAAAAACCTGATCATGCTTATTATCAACCATGACTACAAGCCATGCTAGCCAGCAACATTTACAGTAAAAAGAAGGATAGGAATGAGTTTTTTTTTTTTTTACATTTGTGGATTTCTCAAACCTGCCCTTGGAAATGCATGAAGACGAAGGCCACCATTGATATGAAGAGTGAACATGGTTCTATAAGTTACAATCTCTGTGTCATCGGCCAATTTGAAACTGAAGAATCGAAGAAGAGCCATTGATACAATCTTTATCTGCCGATAAGCAAATTCCTTCCCTAAACAAATTCGAGGACCCGCCTGCAGATCAATACACAATCAGAAGGATTGCATTAATTTGGGCTCGTTTCAAGTATTAGTTGATCTTAATTTAATTTATATCGATACTAACTCGATTTATTTATTAATTATGTTGTGAATGATCTGACTTGTATAATTGTGAACCAATTCACGATTTAGAATCTCCCTAGGCCTAAAACAACCTATCAGGGGCTTTTTAGGAACTAAAAATTCACTCGGTACAAGGTTGATAAGGTTGATAATCTAGTCCACCTATTTGGGCTCGGTTCGACTTATTTTTTAAACGAACTTGAATAATTTTTAAGCTGGTTTAAAAAAACGAGCGTAAAAAGACTCGACTCGAACTCACAAAACTTAGTTCATTTATATATAAAATAGTCAAACCACTTGGGCTCCATTCAGGCTTGACTCATTTAAAAAATGAACTGAACTTGAACGATTTTTTAAACTTATTTTAAAAAACGAACTTGACAGAATCAACTCGATTATCAACCCAATCTACAAGGACAAAACTAAAATACAATAATATTTTAGAAATTTTTTCATATTATAGGAATTGGATAGGTTTACCATTGCAAAGTATTTGAACAGTAATTCGATTCATTTACTATTCATGTTAGTGAGTTGTTAACCTAACCTCTAATTTTTTGTTGAGTTCATGACATGTAGAAAATTATATCATTTAACTAGGATTGATAATTAAGTCGAGTTATTCAGGCTAAGCTCAAATTGGACTCGTATAAGACTCAACTCAAGCTCAATTAAATAAATTTTTAGGCTCGTTTAAAAAAACGAACCTAAAAAGATTCTACTCGAGTCAGCAAAGCTTGACACATTTATATGTAAAATAGTCAAATTATTCGAGCTTCACTCGATTATCAACCCTACACCTAACTACAAGATGAATTGATAAATAATATCACATACATGGAATGCTATAAATTTGAATGGTGACTTGGGTCGGAAAAACCCGTTGTTGAGCCATGTCTCGGGTCGGAAATCGTGGGCATCATCTCCCCAAATGTCAATCATTCTGCCCATTGCATAGGACATATAGTAGACACCATCCCCTTTCTTCAGTCTAAAACAATAAGGAAGAATGTCATCTTTTTCTGCAATCCTCCCATCCTGAATATACCCCAAAAGGCAACAAAATCAATTACAATCTTGTAAAATATTTGTAAATGATCGTATTTTAATCAACTCGTACCTCAACACAAGTGAACTCGACTTAACTCGAACTATTAATAATTTTAACTTTATTGTAAACGACCCTATTCAAAACATTTAAAATTCCAAACATATCCCTCAATAGTTTTTATTTTACATGCATTTCCCTTCCATTTTGGTGTTAATCGAGACGACTTATTCGGACTCGATTCAAATAAAACTCAACTCGAGCTCGAGCTCGTATTCTAAACAAACTGAGATTGAACAATTTATTAGGCTCGTTTATATGTAAAATAGTCGAACTACTCGGGTTTGACTAACTCGCCGAACTTGAATAATTTTTTAGATTCGTTTGAAAAACAAATTCGTCAAGCTCGGGCTCGGGCTCGGGATCGGGCTTGGGCTTGGGCTTAATCTCACAAAGTTTTGCCCAATTAACGCCCCTACTTCCATTCCTTTCCTTTACAGTTTTTTGGGGGGGGAATTTTTTAATTATTTGGCTGTTTTTATGGATTTTGGGAGAATTTTGTTGAGAAGTTCATCTTTTTAGGATAACTTCTTAAGTTCTAAGGAAGAATTTGTAAAAATTCTAGCTAAAAAATTGACACCCTAACCACAAATTGAAAAGTTTGAAAGAAAAAAGAAAATTCTCTTTAGGTTCGTGAGATAATTTACCATTGGGACTGCAGGGTATAACCTTAAGGTCTCTGTCAATGCTGCATGAAGGTAATGCATCTTCTCAAGAATTTCATCATTCAACTTTTTAACAATGTCCCCAATGCTGCTAGTACCATCTTCATTGCCTGCCTGATTACTGAAAACCTCGATTATTTCTTGCGCAATTCGTTCCTGTATAATCGGGTTCTTGCAAAGCATATGGAAAAACCATGAAAGTGTGCTTGCTGTAGTATCTTTGCCAGCAATCATAAAGTTCAGAATTATGTCCCTCAGGTATTGATCATTCATCTTCTCAGGGTCCTTCTTGCTTTCCATCAAAAACCTTGAAAGTATGTCTTCCTTGTCATTCTGGTAAAAAAATTGAAAAACCAGTGAACATTTCAAAACATGTTATGTAACCCAAGAATCAAACCCAATTTTAACACGAACTATGTAATCTGAGTACAAAAAACATAAACTTGTGCAATATTCGGACACAAAGGTATAGGTTCGGGCTGAAACTCGAAATGATTGTTTTGCAAACTTGGATGGAGCCTAGGTTGGCTTTTCAACCCGCCCAAAGCATAAAAAACAATCAACCAGATGATTGTGGTGATGACTCCATTCCATATAACTTATGGATCAATTCTGATGATTGTTTTTTGCCTTCATCTTTTATGAGAAAAAGGTTGGTATGTCCAATGCTTGCAACAGTTAATGGCTAATCACAAATTTAAGCGAAAAATACTCACACAATTTTGTTGCATTTCGAGTTGTTCCCTCCTGGTTTGGATTAATTCATCGACAAATTCGAAGATGATTTTGATGTTCTTCTTGAGGGAAGCTTCAGAACCAATGTTTAAGAACCTCTTTAGCTTCCAAAATGGATCAACATATCGCCAATAGACTAATGCATTTGAATCATCAAAGGCCTTAATGAATAAGCTTCCCTTTTGGCTTGATCCTTCCAAACAATTCAAATCCACTCCAAACCCAACTCTGAAAATCGAGTCCAAAGTGCATCTCATTAGCAAATCCTGCAAGATTTAGAGCATATCAGTCTCTGTTAACAGAAGAAGAGTCATATTACAATATTTTTGATACATTAAGGCTACAATGTAAGAAATTTAATTTTTGATGATGCAAAATGAAAAACTTGAAGTCTTTCAATGTATAAAGTTTGAAAAACCTAAAAATTTAAGGGGGCTAAAGATTTATAGAGGTGTTTAGGGACTGAAGATTTGTAGATTCTCTATTTTGAGGTGTTCAATACTTTTGACACTCTACTCTACTCCCTATGCGCTCTTCTCCATGCCCAAAGTTTCAACTCAATCACTGGGACAGGGATTTGGCCCATCAAGTGTCTCAGCAGCAAAATCATGACGATAGGCACCAAATACTAAGTTGAATATAACAAAAGATTTAGTCTATACCACTTGCAGCGATATCGAGCAATATGGGACAAGTCAAATGATTGATAACTNCTCTCGGGTCGGAAATCGTGGGCATCATCTCCCCAAATGTCAGTCATTCTGCCCATTGCATAGGACATATAGTAGACACCATCCCCTTTCTTCAGTCTAAAACAATAAGGAAGAATGTCGTCTTTTTCTGCAATCCTCTCATCTTGAATATACCCCAAAAGGCAACAAAATCAATTACAATCCAGTAAAATATTTGTAAACGATCGTATTTTAATCAACTCGTACCTCAACACAAGTGAACTCGACTCAACTCGAACTATTAATAATTTTAACTTTATTGTAAACGACCCTATTCAAAACATTTAAAATTCCAAACATATCTCTCAATAGTTTTTATTTTACATGCATTTCCCTTCCATTTAGGTGTTAATCGAGACGACTTATTTGGACTCGATTCAAATAAAACTCAACTCGAGCTCGAGCTCGTATTCTAAACAAACTGAGATTGAATAATTTATTAGGCTCGTTTATATGTAAAATAGTCGAACTACTCGGGTTTGACTAATTCGCCGAATTTGAATAATTTTTTAGATTCGTTTGGAAAACAAATTCGTCAAACTCGGGCTCGGGCTCGGGCTTGGGCTTAATCTCACAAAGTTTTGCTCAATTAACGCCCCTACTTCCATTCCTTTCCTTTACAGTTTTTTGGGGGGGAATTTTTTAATTATTTGGCTGGTTTTATGGATTTTGGGAGAATTTTGTTGAGAAGTTCATCTTTTTAGGATAACTTCTTNATCTTGATTGTACTTACCTTTGGAGTACATATCAAAGTTGGTTTGAGTATGTGTTCAATGTTTCGTGTATCAGTCGTGTATATTTCGCTTTGACCTGGGGCAAGAAGCCGGAAAGTGTGGTATTTTCCGGCGAGTTTTGTTTGGTAGTCATAGAGCTTGTTGAAGTAGAAAACCTGATCAAAAACAGTTCCGGCCACCGGTGGGTATTTCGGGTTTTTGATTGATTTTCCGATGAAAATTTGGAGTATTAAAGCTACAAAGGCTAGGAAGACAAACAGAAGTGCAGTTGCTATATACAAGTAGATGGCATAAAGTATATCCATCTTTGTGGAAGGTTATGAAGTGGGGGAGGAATTGTTAATGGTTATCTATAAAAGAGGTGCCAATTTCGGAGATCACGACATGAGAGGATCGAATTTGAGGGTAAATTACAGTCTGACTCCTAATATTTTATTTTATTACATAGACACCCCCTCATATTTTAGAAATGATTCTGAGACCCCATTAAATGGACGACATTAACGGAATTAACGAAAATAACATTTTACCCTTAATTTAACTGACTAAGAAATTAGCATAATTCATATCCACATCCATAACCATGATCCATGCCCAAACCCATCACCCAAAGTCCATGACCCAACCACTTTCTTCCCCATTTGCTAACCCGTGTCCCCTCACCCATTTCCACTCCCCTCTCTCTCTTCGACAATATAACATACAACCAATATCTAACGATGCAATCACAACACCTCGCTTACCCTACTCTCCCACCTATTGTCATTGCTACTCATCACCAACACTAATGTCGAAGACCCAATCGCAAACAATGGATTCCCCATCAACACATCCATCAGCTAGAATTTCACTAGAGAAAAAGAGATCCATCAACACCACCACCTCAACCATCCAAAACCACCCCTAACACCAGTCCCTTACCACCCATAGGATTTGATCTTCGATTGGCACACAGAGATCTTCACCTAGGGTTTGCAATTTGTACCTCATATCTTCTTTCTCTCTCTTTCTTTCTCGATGATGGGTGGTTCTGTACAAGGTCATTCTTGACAACACTGTGTGAATGGGTGAGATTAAGGGAAGAGGTTTAGCATAATGATCTTGTGTAGGATGACTTTGACCAAATGAGGGCATTGTGGGAATTACAAAAAAATTTCTCATTGAGGTCAACATTTTTTGTAACTTTTTTTTAACGTCTCTCAAGCAAAGGGGGTCTATCTGTTAAACGTTTCAAATGTTAAGAGATCTCAGTATAATTTTTGACATATGAGGGGATGTCCGTATAATAAAATTAAATGTCAAGAGATACGATTGTAATTTACCCAATTTAATATAAAATGATAGAGTTATGGTTAAAAATTTCTAAACTTGAATCCAAGGGGGACACCGACCAATAATAGATGAGATTGGTTAGCGTAGCACATGAGTAATTTCATGTGATAGAGAAAAAAGTCAAAATTAAATGTCAAGAAATGCGATTATAATTTACCCAATTTAATATAAAATAATAGGGTTATGGTTAAAAATTTCTAAACATGAATCCAAAGGGGACACCAACCAATAATAAATGAGACTGATTAGCGTAGCGCATGAGTAATTTCATGTGACAGAGAGAAAAGTCAAAAAAAAAATTATTCTCTTTTTCAAATCTTTGTTGTTTGATTGATATTTTATAAACTGTGTAGAATTGGATCATTTTTTTCACTTGGTTTTACCTATGGATTGAGTGAAATTTTAGTTCTTAGGAGCGGTAGTGGATTTCATTTAAAGAGAAGAGAGTGTAGTCTAAGATATGTGATTCATGTACATCAACCCCAATACTACATGAACAAGAACCATATTGGGTAAATAACAAATTATGATTAATTGATTTTCGACACATGAATTTAAAATGCTCTGTTCTGAACACGACACATCACAATTTTATTAACAACCCTAGACTTGTGAATATTTCTTTTCAAAATTATTGGCATGTATGTATGTCTATCTTCACACACTACTCACATAGAGAGACAAAGAGAAGGAAAGAGCCAAGTCTTAGGTTGCATCATGAAAGTGATGAGAAAGGGATTAAGAAATGCAACCAAACAAATCTCTCCATTATCCTTTCTTGAGAATAGACTCGACAAGGTGTTGGGTCTCCTCTCATCGGTGGTAAAATTTGGTATATATAATTTCTTCAAATTTTATAATGATAAAAATCTCATAAATTAGAGTAATTTATCAGGAATCATAATAAACTAGTTTATATTGTTTATCATGTATAATACTTACTATGCTATAGAATAACTCAACGACTTTAGCCATAAAAAATAAAAAACTTTGAACAATGTTAAAGATACAAGCAAGGCATCAACCATGTTGCGGTGCATTTGAATCTTTTCAGGCCTTGTAGCGGAGAAAATCTCGCCTAGTGAGTTGTCAAATACTAAAAATAAATCCTAAAATCAAATTGAAATTCGTGGTCTTGACTTATTAGCATAAAACTTGTTTTTGTCATGAAAATAACTTCNCTCTCTCTCTTCGACAATATAACATACACCCAATATCTAACGATGCAATCACAACACCCCGCTTACCCTACTCTCCCACCTATTGTCACTGGTACTCATCACCAACACTAATGTCAAAGACCCAATCGCAAACAATGGATTCCCCATCAACACATCCATCAGCTAGAATCTCATTAGAGAAAAAGAGATCCATCAACACCACCACCTCAACCATCCAAAACCACCCCTAACACCAGTCCCTTGCCACCCATAGGATTTGATCTTCGATTGGCACACAGAGATCTTCACCTAGGGTTTGCGATTTGTACCTCATATCTTCTTTCTCTCTCTTTCTTTCTCGATGATGGGTGGTTCTGTACAAGGTCATTCTTGACAAAACTGTGTGAATGGGTGAGATTAAGGGAAGAGGTTTAGCATAATGATCTTGTGTAGGATGACTTTGACCAAATGAGGGCATTGTGGGAATTACAAGAAAATTTCTCATTGAGGTCAACATTTTTTGTAACTTTTTTTTAACGTCTCTCAAGCAAAGGGGGTCTATCTGTTAAACGTTTCAAATGTTAAGAGATCTCAGTATAATTTTTGACATATGAGGGGATGTCCGTATAATAAAATTAAATGTCAAGAGATGCGATTGTAATTTACCTAATTTAATATAAAATAATAGAGTTATGGTTAAAAAATTTTAAACTTGAATCCAAGGGGGACACCCACCAATAATAGATGAGACTGGTTAGCGTAGCGCATGAGTAATTTCATGTGATAGAGAAAAAAGTCAAAATTAAATGTCAAGAAATGCGATTATAATTTACCCAATTTAATATAAAATAATAGGGTTATGGTTAAAAATTTCTAAACATGAATCCAAAGGGGACACCAACCAATAATAAATGAGACTGATTAGCGTAGCGCATGAGTAATTTCATGTGACAGATAGAAAAGTCAAAAAAAAAATTATTCTCTTTTTCAAATCTTTGTTGTTTGATTGATATTTTATAAACTGTGTAGAATTGGATCATTTTTTTCACTTGGTTTTACCTATGGATTGAGTGAAATTTTAGTTCTTAGGAGCGGTAGTGGATTTCATTTAAAGAGAAGAGAGTGTAGTCTAAGATATGTGATTCATGTACATCAACCCCAATACTACATGAACAAGAACCATATTGGGTAAATAACAAATTATGATTAATTGATTTTCGACACATGAATTTAAAATGCTCTGTTCTGAACACGACACATCACAATTTTATTAACAACCCTAGACTTGTGAATATTTCTTTTCAAAATTATTGGCATGTATGTATGTCTATCTTCACACACTACTCACATAGAGAGACAAAGAGAAGGAAAGAGCCAAGTCTTAGGTTGCATCATGAAAGTGATGAGAAAGGGATTAAGAAATGCAACCAAACAAATCTCTCCATTATCCTTTCTTGAGAATAGACTCGACAAGGTGTTGGGTCTCCTCTCATCGGTGGTAAAATTTGGTATATATAATTTCTTCAAATTTTATAATGATAAAAATCTCATAAATTAGAGTAATTTATCAGGAATCATAATAAACTAGTTTATATTGTTTATCATGTATAATACTTACTATGCTATAGAATAACTCAACGACTTTAGCCATAAAAAATAAAAAACTTTGAACAATGTTAAAGATACAAGCAAGGCATCAACCATGTTGCGGTGCATTTGAATCTTTTCAGGCCTTGTAGCGGAGAAAATCTCGCCTAGTGAGTTGTCAAATACTAAAAATAAATCCTAAAATCAAATTGAAATTCGTGGTCTTGACTTATTAGCATAAAACTTGTTTTTGTCATGAAAATAACTTCTATATTAATACTCCAACTTGCTATTACAGAATATATATGTCAACCTATACCATTCCTTTCCTCCTTCCTAAGTACATTCATAAGAAAATCAGGGGGGTTAACTAACTCTTGAGGGAGGGAAAATCCTCTTCTAGCTTGAGTTTATGTGCTGCCATATTTTGTGATCTCCTCACGAACTGCAGCTGGACCAAAGGTATTTGTTGGAGGTACTGCCAAATATCCTTCTGGATAGGTGCTATCTCCCTAATAGGAGCTTCAGGGCCCCTACTCAATGAGTCCATAAGGTACTTAGCATCAAACTCAATTATTACCGCTTGGTACCCATGCTCTAGTGCCATTCTGGGAGCCCTTCTTACTACATATGCTTCTGTGACTATAGCAGACGAGGCCCCAACTTTTTGGAATGTAGCAAATAGCAACTGCAGATGAGCATTCTTACCAGCTACGGATTGGGAAGTCTTTCTCAATGTATATCAATATGTTTGCTTCATCTATCAAAGAGTCATCAAACTTTGGAAATTCTAAATGTCTCTATCATTTGGTTCAATAACGTGCCTTCAGATATTTTTTTTAATTTAACGGTCAAGGGTGTCAGATATAATTCATACTTGATAATGACTAAAAAATCCCCAATTAGGTTAGCAAAGAAACGATTAGATATCAAAATAAGTTTTTAGAGATATTATGGTAACGCATACCCATCTTATATCGTTTAATAAAGTGTATATAAATTGTTAACAAAAAAATAAAGACGTGTATATGAATTTTTCAATAAACTTGACTTTTCGACCTTTATGGTACAATATGATTTGAAACTATGCAGGGAGTTACCATTGGTATTAAATATGTAGACGAATTGTATTTTATATCCTAAAAGATGTTTAAAAAATTACGTTGTACTATTAAAAATTAAATTTCACACATTACATCTATGTATTAAAAATATTATAATATAAT